CAAAAATATTTAGGATAGATATACAGCCACTTTCTCTTAGTTCAACGAGAAGAAAGATTTGTACTAATATTATTTATACAAGATATCATGCCTGCATCTTGTACTCTGAATAACTACTATGAAGACAACCGTATACAATGTATTAATTATTGTAATTGTCCCACTAACCTGCTTTGAAACTGTCTCATTGCTATTTCTTTCTCATTAAAATTAATAAAAAAATTTAAAAAATAATAAAAAATAAAGGGCTCAATGCACATGTTATTAAATATTCTTCAAGAACATCGAATCTGTTCTAGTGATGACTCACAATTGAAAAGACACTTTTATTTGTGGTGACCGGTTGCTGTGTTGCTTTTTGCTTTTACAGAAGTGAAGAAATGAAGAAATGCTGTAAATACAAAGTATATCAACATGAAGAAGCAGTTTTTCTGACTCCAGATAATGGGATAAATGTGAAACCATTTGGTCCAGAAGCAAGTGAAAGCCTCATCTTTAGAAATCTCCTGATTGGTCATTCTGCACTCACTGTGCCCATCCCAGCTACCACTGAATTAGAATCATATGAGTATCCGGGATTTGAAGAGAAACTGTTGAACTGTGACAAGCATGGAAACATTTTTACTGACAAGCAGTCCTTTCAAACACATGCAAAGACAAATCCAGAAGAGGAACCACATAAATATAAGCAATGTGGAAATTTCAGTTGTGGTTGCAGTGAAAGAACTAACACTGAAGAGAAGACTTTTAAATCTGAGCAAGATGTAAAAGCCCTTAGTACAGCCAGCTGTGTTCAAATTTGTGAAAGAAATCATAATACAGTGACTACCTGTATAGGTACACAATGTGGAAATGGTTTTAACTCTCAACATGATATTCAGATACATGAAAGAGTTAATACTGGAGGAAGATCCTATATATGTAAACATTGTGGGAAATCCTTTACTAATAGCATTTTATTTGATAATCATGAAAGAACTCACAACAGGAAGAAACCTTATATCTGTAAACACTGTGGGAAAGCTTTCAGTACACACAGTTATTGCCAAATACATGAGAAAGCTCATACCGGTGAGAAACCCTATGTCTGTAAGCAATGTGGGAAAGCTTTTAGCATGCATAGCATTTGCCAAAGACATGAACAAACTCACACTGATGAAAGACCATATACATGTAAACAATGTGGAAAAGCTTTTAGAACATACACTCATTGTCAAATTCATGAACGAACTCACACTGGTGAAAAACCCTATGTATGTGAGGAATGTGGAAAATCTTTCAGTGCACATGGTAGTTGTCAGATACATAAAAGAATTCACACTGGGCAAAAACCATATGTGTGTAAGCAATGTGGGAAAGCTTTCAGGATACACAATTGTTTTCGGGCCCATGAAAGAATTCACACTGGGGAGAAACCCTATGTATGTAATCAGTGTGGGAAAGCTTTCAGTACACAGAGTCTTTGTCAAAGACATGCTCGTACTCACACTGGTGAGAAACCCTACGCATGTAAACAATGTGGGAAAGCTTTTAGCACACATGGTAGTTGTCGAGAACATGAAAGAAGTCACACTGGGGAGAAACCCTATGTATGTAAGCAGTGTGGGAAAGCTTTCAGTACACGTGGTAGTTGTCGAGTACATGAAAGTATTCATAATGGAGAGAGGCCTTATGTATGTAAACAATGTGGGAAAGCATTCAGCACACGCAGTTGTTGTCGAAAACATGAAAGGACTCACACTGGGGTGAAACCCTATGTATGTAATCAATGTGGGAAAGCTTTCAGTACATACAGTCATTGTCAACGACATGAACAAACTCACACTGGGTTAAAACCATTTATATGTAGGTATTGTGAGAAACCATTCAGCACACATGGGAGTTGTCAAATACATGAAAGAACTCATATTGGACATAAACCATATATATGTAAGCAATGTGGGAAATCTTTCAGCGCACATTATAGTTTTGAAGTACATAAAAGAAGTCACACTGGGGTGAAACCCTATGTATGTAAGCAGTGTGGGAAAGCTTTTAGCACACACAGTTATTGTCAAATGCATGAACGGACGCACACTGGGGAGAAGCCATATATATGTAAGCAATGTGGGAAAGCTTTCAGCATACGAAGTTGTTGTCGAAAACATGAAATGACTCACACTGGGGAGAAACCCTATGTGTGCAAGCAATGTGGGAAAGCTTTCAGCAGACAGAGTCATTGTCAAAGGCATGAACAAATTCACTCTGGGGTAAAACCCTTTTTATGTAAGCAGTGTGGGAAGGCATTCAGCACTCATGATAATTGTCAAGTACATGAAAGAATTCACATTGGGAAAAAACCTTATATATGTGAGCAATGTGGAAAAGGTTTCAATGCACATGGTAGTTATCAAGTACATAAAAGAACTCATACTGGAGAGAAACCCTATGTGTGTAAGCAGTGTGGCAAAGCTTTCACCAGAAACAGTTACTGTCAAATACATGAACGAATTCACACTGGTGAGAAACCCTATGCATGTAAACAGTGTGGGAAAGCATTCAGCACAAACAGTTGTTGTCGAAAACATGAAAAAACTCATGCTGGGGAAAAACCTTATGTATGTAAGCAGTGTGGGAAGGCTTTCAGAACACACATTCTTTGTCAAAGACATGAACAAATTCACAATGGGGAGAAGTCCTATATATGTAAACAATGTGGGAAAGCTTTCAATACACACATTTATTGTCAAAGACATGAACGAACTCACTCTGGGTATAAACCCTACATGTGCAAGCAATGTGGGAAACATTTCAGGACAAAAAGTAGTTGTCAGAAACATGAAAGGACTCACACTGGAAGAGAAACTATGTATATAAGCAATGTGGAAAAGTTTTCAATTACATGAAAATAATGAACAGACATTAAAATTTGAAAGCAAATAAACTAAAATGTAACCTTCACTGACATGAAAGAATATTCAGTGAAGATGACTTTCTTGGTAAGTCATGAAAATCAGTACACACAGATGTCATATAAATGAATGAATTCATATTGAACAGCATGCATATTGGTGATCAGTATGGAAAACAATTTTTCTCAATGCATTAAAACAGTGATTCACAGGAGAAGGATGACACATACATGTATTAAAAGAAAAACCCTTTAGTTCTCCCACTTACTTTGAAGTACATGGGACAACTCCTAGTAGAGAGCTTACATCCACAATGTGAGAATGTCCTGATTTTAATAATTTAAGGAAACATACACATTCACACAGTTAACACAGAATGTTGAAGGATTTTCATATGGGTTCATACAAGCATGGCATTTCATAGTGGAGAGACTTGTGTCAGAGTATATACTTATATTAATTGTGAATTAACTCACAACATGAATGCATGCTCTTCTGAGAAAATGCTCATATAAGGGATGTGTACAAGTATTTGCTTGTACATGTAAGAATGAACATCAGATTAAATCCAAACACCTATACAAAGTTCATAGTTGTAAGTCATGTTTCAAAATATTTGAACATTTTTTGTAGTTGGAACCTATGCAAATAAGTCATAAAAACATGATGTGAGTTATTTCTCCATAATTTAAAATGAGATATCCTAAAGTATTAGTATAGGAAGTGTAAATCACTGGATTAACTATTTATAAATTCAGTTTTAAAAATAAATTGTTCTCAAATTTGTATTTTTTCTTTTTTAAATTTCTACTATTACTTATTTGTCATATATAATGACATTCATCATAGTGAATTTGTACCTGTACAAAATATGTATTCCCTTTTTCCTATTGCTTTGTCTCCAATATTTCTCACCCCATATTTGCAAAAGCTCTATTTCCAGTTTTCTCTTCCATTCTTTTACTAAATCCCATTTCCAGTCTACCTTGTCCCTTTTATTCCCCTTCCAATTTTAACATGTTCTTCCTGATTCCTGATATCCTCTATTTTTTTCATCAACACACTTTGGATTTCACACACAAGAGAAACAACATGATATTTAAACTTGTCTGTCTGATTTACTTAAGATGGCCTTAAGATGCACTGGTTACCTAAAAATGGCTCAATTGTTCTATATGGCAGAGTAGTACTGCATTTTATTCCACTGAGCTATCTCCCTGGCCCCCTAAAGCTTTTTTTTTGTTGTTGTTTTTAACGGAACTGGGGATTGAGCTCAGGCCTTTGCACTTGCCAGGGAAGAGCTTATCCCACTGAGCCATGTCCCTGGCCCAGTACTCCCATTTTAAATATCGCATTTTCTTTATCCATTCATCTCTTTATGGGCATATGGGGTTTTTGTTGTTGCTGGTTTTTATTTTATTTTTTTTTTAGGGGAGGTTCTACAGGATGTTCAGAGTCTCACTACTAGATCCGCCTGTTTACAGATTTCCAAAAGCTAGGATTATAGGTGCACAATACCATGCCCAGTCTCAGTTGCCATCTCAGCACACCCCAGGTGTGAGACCAGCATGGCAGGCCAGGGATTGAATCCCCCAACCCTGTGTCTGCTAGTAGGCACTCTAATCCACTGAAGTATTTGGCCAAACCTGGAATATGATTTTGTTTTTCCCCATAATTTTACTGAGAAACAAATAGTAATGAGACGGTTTCAAATCAAATTGGTAGGACTGTTTCAATAATTAACACATTACATACATTCTTCCAAGTTAATTGCTGTAGAAGATGCAGACAAGATATCCTATTTACAAACACTATTAGAACAAATCCCTCTATTCATTAAGAGAATGTAACTATCCTAACCATTTTGAATACACAGATGCAAAATGGACATTAACCTGTATACCTTTTTTTAATTAAGTTCGTTATATGAATGTTATAGGTGTGTTAACTCAGGAAAATATTTTAAAGAGTCCAGTAGTCCATAATAGTATTGGGTCTAGTAGTCCATAATAGTATTGGGTGTTCCACTTCACTGGCAGTGTAAGATATTGTTGACCTAAGTCCCCTACAGCTCAATATAACAGCATGGATTTACTTCTTACAATTCATTTTTATACTTTTCTGCTAGATGGTTAAGACCAAGGTAAAGCAGAAACTATGCAACAAGAGTTGTAGCTTTTGGGTCTGATAAGGTCAGTGAAATCCCCTCAAGATTTATCCTGAGATCCTGTACCTCAGATTGTAGATCCTTTGTCAGTGTCAGCATGTGAATGAGTCAGGGCCATTGCTTGGCCCATTGTGAAAACCTGAGGAATGTTTTCCCTCCATGTGACTCTCCTTAGGCTCACTCTACATCATAAATCACTTTCCTCTTTGGCCCGATAATCTCCTTGATCAGAAAATTTGGGACACTACCGAGTTATAAGACGTTGCAGTACAAGTTCTCATATGTCCTGAATCTTAATTGACCTTGGAAGGCTAGGGCCAAAATGTTGGCTTTCCTTGCAGCCCTCCTTTTCCTCTAATTTTGTTCTGCAAACTTAGGTTGTTAACCCTACAGAAGGGAGGGTATGTTATTACCATACAACCTAGGCTGTTAAGCTTAACCTCACTATCTGTCTGAATATCAAACATCTTAGGCATAACATGGAACACGTATTTTTCATCAAGTATTGATATGTTGAACTGTAAGTCCCTACAGAATATGATGAAAAAACATTTAAAAATTAGATTATATTTTTAAAAATAGGCATAAAAATTGTATAATTCTTATGTTTACACATAAGTCCAGAAATCTAACCATATACAACCTTAAAGCAGGAGAGTACCACAACATTCCTTTTCCTGTCTTTTGCCTTCATTCACCACCCCTTTCTTTTTGAACAATCATCTACCTGAGAGACAGTACAGCAGCAACTGGCATGTCATGACAAGTAACTCATATTCACAAGACCAGAATGGCAGGCACTCTGAGCATGAAAATACTATTACAGATTACATCTTCAGTGCAGTTGATTATTTCACAGGTATCAGTATATATAGTTAGGGTGAGAATCTTTCCAATTAACTGCTAGATTAAAAAATATTCTGGAGAGTCTCAGGATCATTGCATTGCCCATCTTCTACATATAACTGTATAGCTTGTCACTGTCATGTTTCCTAGCTCTTGTCCTTTCACTCTCTTAATCACTTAGTCCTTGAGTTCTTGCTTTCCTTTTACTTGTATTATACCTTTCTATTTGTGTTTCTTCTTTTGAGTTCTTATACTAGGGAAACTATATGATATTTACACATGTGTGTCTGGTTTATTTCACTTATGAGTATATGTTCAAGTGGCATCAACATCAATATAAGGGGTTGAGTTTATCATTCTTAATAGCTGAATAATACTCCATTGTATAAAAATACCACATCTTTTTCAACCATCCCTCAGGTGATGGGCATGTTGGTTGATTCCAAGATTTGGCTATCACAAATTGTGCTGCTATAAATGTAGGCACACATATATCCCTATGATATGATGTTTTCAGATCCTCTGGGTAAATTCCCAGTAGAGGAAAAGCTGGTTTAAATGGGATTTACAGTCCAAGTTTTCTAAGGAGTCTCCACACTGATTTCCATAACGGTTGCACCAGTCTACATTCCCAACAGCAGTGCAGAAGGGTTCCTTTTTCCCCACAGCCTCTCCAACATTTGTTGTTGGGTGACTTCTTTATGATAGCCACTCTTTCTGGGGTGAGATGATATCTCAATGTTGTTTTAAATTGCATTTCGTGGATGGCTAGTGATATGGAGCATTTTTTCATATATTTATTTGCTTCTTAAATTCATCCTCTGAGAAGTGTGTGTTAATCTCAGATGCCTATTTCTGGTCTGGGTCTTTAAATTTTGGAGATCTAGTGTTTTTTAGTTCTTTATAAATTCTAGAGAGCAGACCTTTGTCTGAGTACTTATTTGTCATGATTTTTTTCAACTTTGTGGGTTGTCTTTTCACTTTGTTGGTAATTCCTTTTGACGTGAAAAAACTTCTCAGTAAAAGAAGGTCCCAGTTGTTAATTCTTTCAAGTGTTTCCTGTGCGATTTGATTTTTGTTCATGAACTCTTTTCCTACCCCTATGTCTTCAAGAGTTCCTCCCACTTTCTCTTCCAGGAGATTTAATGTCTCTGCTTTAATGTTTAGATCTGTAATCCATTTTGACTTTACTTTAGTGCGTGGTGATAGACCTGCATCAAGTTTTAGTATTCGGCATGCAGAGAGCCAGTTTTTCTAGCACCATTTGTTAGAGGCTATCTTTCTTCCAGTGAGTATGTTCGACCCCTTTGTCAAAGATAAGGTGGCTGAGTGTGTTCGTAGGGCTTCAGCATCTTCTAATCTATTCCATTGATCCTCAGGTCTCTTTTGTTGCCAGTACCATGCAGATTTTATCACAGTAGCTTTGTAGTATAATGTCAAGTCTGGAAATGTAATGCCTCCTGCCTTGTCTTTATTGCCAAGGACTGCCTTTCTATTCTAGGTCATTTCTCGTTCCACATAAATTTTAGGAATGATTTCTAAACCTCTGTGAGGTATGTTGATGGTAGTCTGATAGGGATTGCATTAAATCTGTATAGCAATTTTGGGAGTATGGCCATCTTCACAATGTTGGTTCTTCCTATCCAGGAGCATGGGATATCTTTCCATTTTCTGAAATCCTCTAGGATCTCT